CAGGGGAGCAACGGCGCCAGCATCGCCCTCGCGAAATCATGAATGAAAACGGGCGAGCGGCCAACACTACTGCGTGCTATCTTGCAGCCACCGCGTATGGATTTCTCTCTCTCTCTCTCTCTTTCGGATACCGGCCAACAACTTCTCTCTCGCGTTCTCTTTAGCGAGCCTCGCACACTAAAGCCGCCGTCTTTTGTCCGCGCTCCGGAAAAGGCGATTCGCTCTTACCAACATGCCCTTCTTCATCGTTGGCTGACTGTCGTGCGCAACGAAGGGCACGAGTAGTTTGTACAACGGTGTGAATGACATCCCTCGATTTAAGAGGTTTATTTAGGCACCTATCTCTCGTCGCGCGTCGGGTGAATTATTCGAATTGTTAACACACCTATTAAACGAAAATTTCATATCTGCCTTTAGATATTAGATATATTCGTATTAAAGTTCAAATTTTCTTTTTAAAATATCTTTTTCTTTTGAATTTTTTTTGTATAGTGCGTGAGTGGAATATAATAATTCAGAAGTTATCTAACTTAACCTAACTTAATAGGTATATTTAATTTTTATTCATTGAAAATTGAAAAAAAAAATATAATAAAAGAAATTGGGTTAATGATGTCATCAGATCGATTATTTTGACGACAAAAGTGACGCAATAAATATTCACATATTCGATTATCGTGAAAATAACTTTCTAGTCCAATTCTTTGAGGAAGCGTGACGTTGATAATATAACTTTAATTTAATTTAATTTAATTTAGTTAATTTAGTTTAATTTAATTTATTACAGTAAAAAATACCAAATTTAAAATACATATAATTTTTAAATCAATGAATATTTAGATTCAAAATCAATATATTTCGTTTCTAATTATCGACTATTATAATAAAAGGCAAAAAAAAGAAAAAAAAGATTTAAAGGTAAAAAAATTTTCTGTACGATATAGTAACTTGTAGTTTAAAGTTCCTTTCAGAATGCTGTACAACTCGGAAGTTACGTATTTATAGGTTCTATTTCTGTAACCCTGGGTCTTTTATATATCTAAATTTAAATTCTTTTATTGTTTTAGCATTTCAAGAAATCTGAAAAAATTCTAGGAACACTAATATAATAATAAATGTAATATTACATTATATGTTCGTTTGTTAAATTAAATGTTTGAAATATTTTTTAATAAAAATAAAAAATTAGTGTAAATTAAAAAATTC